TGATTTGACCAAGTAATGAGTCAAAAATGTTGCTGATCTGAGCTGCTGACAACAATAAAAGCTTTTAGAATTTTTTAAAGGTGCCTCCTAAGTCGTGTGGCCTCAAATAACTAAACGCTTGCTTCATATTTGGGGGTTGAGCTCGATATTTTGCATACCAGCCTTTTTCCCCTCTTGAATTTGAGGCTGGTTTTTGTTTTCTTTAACTCTTGGGAGGCCGTGTGAAGCTGACCCCCAGCCGCCTGCAGCAGTGGGCTGGGAGGGGCCCGAGGGGAATGTTTGCCAGCAGCCTTAAAGCAAAAGGGGCTCAGCCAGGAGCTTGCTTGGATTGGGGAATAGCCACCATCATGGTTTCAGCAGACTGGAGACTGGGACAATAAATACCCGTGTGGAACTCTCTCCTTGGCCTTTTGGCAGTGGGGCTTTTTCCTGCCTGGGAGAGGAGCAGCTTTGCTTTGTTTCCAGTCAGCTGCCAGACAAGCATGAGGACTCATCTCTGCTTTGGGCTGCCTCTGGAGGGGTGACATAGGACCCACCTTTATTTCCAGCTCCCCATCCATACACAGACGTGCTGCTCCTGACGCCAGTGAGGAGGAAAACTTTCTCTTCATTCCTGCTGGCTCTGCCAAGCCATTGTGGCTTGAGAGGAATGAGCTGACTCTCCTTGCACGTGCCTCATCAGCTGAATTGTTTTATATAGCTTCACTGATTCCCGTCCAGCCAAACCCACTGTTTGCCACAGAGCATCCATTACAGCATTGCTTGACCTGTGAAATCATGGCCACCAAGAGCTATGTGTGAAGAAAAACCGATCTGAAACAGCCTTGATGGGGTTCTGAGGCTGCAAAGCCGTTCTTGTCTTTTGCAGGGCATTTTTACCCCCTTAAAATGAAGAGCAGTGGGATGTGAATGCCTGACAATCAATCTCTTTATATAAAGTGGTGGTAGGTAGTATTTGCTGTGCCTCTGGGGGTTTGTCTCTGCTTAACTTACCCCTTCCTTTCCCCTGCTGCAGTTAAAACCAGCAGCTGTGATAACAGCCGCTCGAAGATCATTGTTGATCCAAGAAATATCGACTGTGGGATGCCTTGTAGGGCTCTCTGCAAAGAGAAGTCAAGTGATCAGCATCTTTCCCAAGAAACAAGCATTTATTTGTTCATGTCACTCCTTAGTTTTTGTAGGGGTTAGCACACAGCTCTAGCTGTTCAGAATCACTTCCTGCTCATGGATGGTATGGGAAGAGGGAGGGAAACGGTGCCCTGTACTGCAGGGTTCAGTACGGGAGACGTGACTGCCTCAAGGAGGAGTTTAAAAATACAGACTGCTTTTGGGATGTCTTAAGCTCTCTGACGTGTGAGAACATCCAGACACCCAAGTCTAGCAGCACATCTGGTGCAAACTGGCTGATCTCTGCAGGAGTCTGTGGAGCTACCATGAGTTTTACCCATGCTCATCTTATCCATGGATCCTGAGGCTGGGAGCAAGGAGTTATTCCTTTAGTGTGCTTCTAAGAGGTCAATACTTGAGACACTGACACTTGTCTGTGGTTACCAAGGCCTCTGCCAGGACTGGGTGTCTGTGAGTGACTCCTGAGAAGTTGTTGTAGTCCAGTTGAGTGCTGGGCAAAGGGAGGAGTTGTGCTGAGCTCTGCTCATCTGAGGGCAAATGAGGGATGTGGTTGGCAAGAAGGCAGTGAGGGCAGCATGATGAAATGCCTTTCCACTTGGGCTGAAGCACCTGAGCAGCACTGCTGGCTTCCTCTGGAAGAGGAGCCATGTAGCAGGAGGAATAAATCCATGTTTGTGGCATTCCTGGTGCACATGGGGGCTCTGGGGTGGAGCAGGAGCTGTGTCAGCCTTGAACTGCTCTTCAGTCCAGTTCTCAGTGGGTGGCTCAGCTGGGATCAAACCCAGCCCACTGACTGTGCTCAGGAGTTTGTCATGGCAGTTGGAAGCTGGAGAGGCAGGGCCATCTGACTTAGCATCCCCTTGTTACCAGTGACTCACTTGCCTGCTCTGCTGCTGATACCCTGAGCAATCAGGCTTGTTGCTCTCCATCAGAGGCTTCCTTTCCTGGTGGATGAAGCTATCCTGTTGAAAGGGGTGAAAGCGGGAGCAGAGGCCTGGCTGCAGTGGTTGTGCAGTGTGTGCACCTCTTTGCTCTGGAGAGAAGCAGCCTGCAGCTCCCCCAGAAATGTGTCAGCTTTCCAAGGGCATCTGCATGCTGCAGAACTGGCTTTGTTTGTGTGTGGAGGAGAGAGCTGGAAATCTATTTCTTTTGGCTCTCCTGCCTCCTCCAGAATGTGTATCCGTGGGCCTTGTGCAGAACTGCAGCTATTTTCTGTGTCTGCTCTGCTCGGGGAGATGCGCTGCATCCTGGGAACACTGAGGGAGGTGGATGCTGGGGTTTGTGTTTCATCTCTGCCTGTGCCTCAGGCCTCAGATCTTTTCACCAGTGTTTTGATGTTTTGAGCAGATATCAGGCTGCTCTTGTCTCCTGTTGTGCAGCACAGCTTGTGAAAAATACTTGGTATTGCAAAGTGTGGAGATAGTTTTTGTTTATCCATTGTTATTTGCCATTTGCAGGGAAAGAAATAAAGCAAGGGGAGGGAAATAAACTGGGGAAGTTCTGCAGCAAAAATAACTGAGACACAGATGCAAGAGATGCGTCTATACTCCTGTTCCTGCTGAGCAACTGATGATGAGGCAGTACTTGCTTTCCCAAAATATGTCAGGGAAAGAGATACTGGTGCTGTGCTGAGGGATGTTCGTCACCCACCACTTTGTGTGAAGCCTGTGAGTCATGGGTGCTTTCTGGGTTCTGCTCTGAGCTCCCTTCACTTGATCTTAAACCCAAGCCCACTGGTTTTTTTCAAAGTACTGATGTTACAAATATTTAATTTAACCCATTCATGTCTTGCATCAATCCCAGGGCCTTTTCCAGGGAAATCCCTGCTGGGGGTGATGAATGAGGTGGTGGTCTTTCTGGGTGTTTTTCTTTACCTAGCCTGAGTGAAGGAGGTGGCACCTCTTAATCACCTTGAGCTTCTGTGCTGTGGTGCTGGTGAGTAGCTCCCTGCACACAGTGGGGTGGAGGTGAACAGGCTGGTAAATTGGCATTTAGCTAGGGATGGTAAATTGGCATTTAGCTATGGATGCTAAATCTAAACCAGACAACAAGCCTGGTTTAGATGCTGAGAGAAGGCTCAGGTGTCTATCACAGGTGCCAGGCTCTGTGTGCCAGCATGGCAGAGAGGAGCCCTTTGCCCAGACTCCTGGCACAGCCCGAGACATTTTCACTTGGAGATGTTGCTTTTCTCAGGGAGTTCTTGTGTTTCTTTAGATCTGAGTTTATTTTCATCAGCACTCAGCCCAAACGTAACTCGTTTCTCCCTGCAATTGGTGACTGGTCCATTGTGTTCTGAGGAGGGAAGTGGAGCTGCTCAGCAATTGTGCTGAGAGTGGGAAGTCCTCCTCTGCTTTTGATTCTTAACAACCAAAGAGTTGTCTATGTCTGGTCCAAAGCCCACTGATTCTGTGGAAAGAAGCTGGCACTTCCAGCATCTTTAAACCAGGCTGAGGCTGCCCACAACTGTAACTTACTGTGGCCTTGGGGGAGTGACTCCATTGGAAGGGTTTAGGTTTGGAGAAAGGTTCCAAATTAAGAACAATAAACTCTAGAAGAAAGATGTTGTGAAATAATGGCACGGCTTCTCCAGGTCTACCGAGTTTGTGGGGGTTTTTTTGTTTCCTTGTTTTGCTTGTGCCATTGGCATAACTGTGATTTGCCAGGAAGAGGTAACTGGGCTGACTTGCTTTTCCTCAGAGCTTCTGTGTGGATTGCCATACAGCTGCTGTGGGAAGGACCCAGATACAGTCTGGGGAGTGTGTCAGACCTCCCTTCTGCGAGGTCTGTGCTGCTCCCTTGCCCTCCACAGAACAGCTCTGGGGTGTTGGATGTTGTCAGCTCAAGCCCCCGAGCAGCTGAGGAGAGCAAGTCACCAGAGATGACTGTCACCTCTGCGCTGCCTGGCCTGGCTTCTTTTCCTGCTGGGGACATACACAGGCAGCACCAGGGGCTTTGTAGGTTACACAGGAAATGCTGGGAACGGTGCCCTGCTTGCTCACCTCGTGTCAGATGAGGTTATTTGTAAACCAAGGCATGGCAGAGCAGCAGGCTCGCTTTATTCCCTTCCTGGAAAAGTGGGAAAGAGTTTTAGCTGGCTTTAGTGGCAGAGTTGCTATCTGAGCTGCATCCTGCTGTAGAAGGGTTGCAGGAAAAGGGCAAGAATGTTGGCATTTTCCTTGTAGGCCTGGGAGGACAGAGCAAGTCTGAGAGCTGCTCCTTCCCTTTGGCACACTGAGCCAAGGAGAGCACCACCTTGGCTCTCAGCTCACCTACACAGGTGACTGTCAGGAGTAGCTTTTGGAGCTGCAAGCAGGGCCATATCCCAACCTGTGTCACGCCTCAATGTGCTTCTTGAGGGGGTTGGCCTCACTGGGAAGTTTGGGGAGTTTCCCATGCTGCTGGGGAAGTTCTGAAGTGGAAGATTGGCTGATTTCTGCTGTGTAGCTGTGCAGTGGACATGAAGGAGACAGCCTCAGCTGCTTCCCCAACTGAACTAGAGCTGGTCACCTTACAGCTCTGACCGTGTTCCACTCTCTTTTCCAGGTGTCTGCCAAAATACTCTTAGGGTAATCCTATGGGAGGCTGGGGCCTCTGAAACAGCATTTGGGTGTTGCAGATGGGTAAAGAATCATGGTTTATTGGCAGCAGGCACAGAGAACCAGTGTGATGGTGTTTGAGTTGAGGATGTTTTAGCTCCTGAGCCCCACAGCAGAGATGGATAGAAGGAAAAAGAGGATGCATTTGGGAGGGACACCCAAGAGACAGATCCTGCGTCCCAAAAGCCTCTGTGTCCTTAACACAGTTCTGATAGGACTTCTTTCCTGCCAGGGGTGTTATAATCCTGCTGAATGCTTTTCTCCTGGCTCTTACAGAACGATGACCTCAGGAACCTGTCCCTGTCCGGCCACGTGGGCTTCGACAGCCTCCCGGACCAGCTGGTCAACAAGTCAACATCACAGGGCTTCTGCTTCAACATCCTGTGTGTGGGTAGGTCACCTGCTGGGCCCTCAGGGGGCACAGCCCCACATTCACACCTTCTCCACCTGCCCAGGGCAGGGCTGAGGCTCTGAGGGCTGTGCTTGTCTTCCCAGAGCTGCTCCACAGTGAAATCTAGTGTTCCCCTTTGCCCTTTCTCTGCCCTGTCCCCTGAGTCAGAGCATGGCAATTGCTGGCTGTTAAAATCTGTGCCTTTGATCATCCAGCAGTTCTACTTTCCCCAAAGGCTGCCCATAAGAAAACGGAGTCAACTTGGGCACAAAATGTTTTTTTGAAAGGTTGTTAACTTAAAATCTGCTTTTTTCTGGGTTGGGTGTGGAGGCTGTTTCTCACCGAATTGCGTTCCTTCCCTTCCAGAGTTTGCATGTATCCTTACATTCTTAGCATCTCCACTTGAAACTATGCCATTTTTAGTCTCCAAATGAACAAAGACTGTCACCTGTCCTCTGCTGTATTTAATCTGGAAGTTGGTTTAATAGCCTGAGTTACTTTTCCCAAATTGTTCACAGGGTGAAATATGGGAGGCAACATCTTCTCTTGGCTGTGGGGGAGGAAGCTGCTGTCTTGGTACTCTGTGGATACTCCGCAGTTGGAAATCCATTTATCAGCCCCAGGGAGCTGTGAGCCAAGCCAGCTTTGGCTTGTCAGTGAACCCAGAATTTGGTTCTATAAAGGGACAAAACTGCTGGGTTTTCCTCCTAGCTTGGCAGTGCAGGCTGCAAACATCGTCTTTACATTCATTGTTCATTTAAGCCTCCGAGAGGGGAGTATTGTCCCTTCTAATTAGTTACATTAATTAGCTGGAAAAACCCCACAACCCTCTGACTGTGATTTTTCTACAGCAAATTGACAATTTCTGTGAGCTGCCTGAAAAGAAATCTAGCAAACTCGACTCCTCCCTGTAGCTTGTGTGTGAAAGGAGGAGATAAGAGAATAGTTGTGCTTCTGCACACTTGAGTTCCCAACCCTCACATGACTCTTGTAGCAGCATGAAACCATTTCAATCCAGCAGGGAACAGCCTGATTAGCAGGCAGCTCTTTGATCAAAATGGCATAAATTAATTGCCTTTCTCTCTTGAAGTAAATATGCCTTTCTTAGTGTGACTTAATGTCTCCATTAGCAATTTGATCCACCTCTTTTTATCTCGTGAAATGTGCCCGTCCACTGATTTTCACCTCATATTAAAGTTTCATACAAGCTGCTGCAGCTGGCCAAGGAACAGAATCTCAGCCTTGAAAAATAGTTTAGAATTGTGATTTGAGAGAGGACACAGTTAAATTCAGTGTTGTATTGTGAGACTTCTAATTGGGATGTGAAATGGTGCAGAGCTGATCTGGCATAGAACACAGCAGTTCACTTCAGGAGCTCCCTAAAATTTGCAGCTTCAGCCGTGGGCAGTCCATGCCATCAGTTTAGGACTTGGCTTTCCATGTGAGTTGCCTCAGCCCCACCCCTGCTCACAGCATGGGTAGCAATAGCTGTTTGAGAGTGTAATTGCTAAAGAAATAGTTTTGACTGAAAAATGGGATTTAGGCTAGTGCTTTCGTCCATGTAACTAATTGCAGTGGGGCTTAGTGAAACTGCAGTAGTTTAAAAAGTTGGTATTTAAGCAGTGTGCCTATTTTTTTTAAGAACTCCCTATATGTTTCTCTGTCTCAGATTTTTATTGTCTTAAGTAGCACTATGGGTTTTGGATGATCTTCTTGAGACAGCAAAACTGCCCTAAAAAGACTGAAACAAAATCAGGGAATCAGACGTGGAGTTGGGAGAATTAACAACTTGCTGCCGTAAAGAAAGTTCCTGGGTCCTGGTAAAGATGGAGACTGTTTCTGAAGACATCTGTTCCCGTAGGGATTATCTTGTTTAGCGATGTGCATGTAGCCTAATTCCACTGCTACCCAAGAGGAGTAACTCCTTAACCTGCCGGGGAAGGAGGCTCGGGAGAGCAGCAGTGCTGTCCTGACTCTCCCTCTGTCTGCTCAGGTGAAACCGGCATCGGCAAGTCCACGCTGATGGACACACTGTTCAACACCAAGTTCGAGAGCGAGCCCGCCACGCACAACGAGCCCGGCGTCAGGTTGAAAGCGCGGAGTTACGAGCTCCAGGAGAGCAACGTGCGGCTCAAGCTGACCATCGTGGACACGGTGGGCTTTGGTGATCAGATCAACAAGGATGACAGGTAATCCGAGCTCTGCTGGGAGAGACATCCCGCTGCTGGTGCGCTCCGAGGTCTCCAGGGCCTCCCTCTGTGGGCAGCAGGTCCCTCACTGTTCTGGGGGTGCTTCCCTGTCCCAGATGCTGCTCCTGCCTAAGCCCGTGGGCAGGCCCAGGGCAGTGGGGCTTAGTGAGAGCTTTTGTGCTCCCGCTGCATTGTGTCCTGGCACATATGGCTGTGGCGGGTACGATTCGCTCTGTCCTCCAGTTTGAGGCTTCCCAGTCCTCCTTTGCTCTGCTTTTTTTATGGGGCTTTCTCTAATATTTCTCCCAATGTGAGGCCTTACTGCTTTCCTTGCTCTTGTCTCTGAGGTTTTTGGTGTCTCATCAGAACTTCCATAAGCCAAGAAACCAGAGCGGCAGTCGTTTTAGACACACCTAGTGATATCCATGAAGCTGGCCTTGGTGGAGGGGAAACACATGGAGCAGTTTTCTTTCCAGAAGCACAAACAAGTTGATTTGAAGCACAAGTTGATTTGAATAAGGACATGTTACACTGCATGAGCTACTTTTTCTCCAAAAGAATGATCCCATCAAAGTCCAGGAATGGTACAGCTGTCTTCTGAGCTTTGCTCACAGGCTTTAGTTCCTGACAAATACCTCTTATCTTGTGACTGTCCCTTCCCTCTTTTAAGATGATGAGATTTTGGACAAGCTAGGGAGTAGGTGATGATTTCATGTTGAAATTTTTTTGTTAGATGCTTTTCAGTGAGACGGGCAGAGCAGCAGCTCAGACTAATTGGAGAGGCTGCCAAATGCATTGCTTCTCAGGGTAGCAGTCGTGTAGTTTCCATGCACCTGAAATCGAGGGCTGTCATGTCTGTTGTGCTTTGCCTGTGCACCAAGTGGAAAGGCACCCTTGTGAAGGAGGGACTGTAGGTTGCTGGAGAGGGTCCTGAAAGCAGTGCTTGTCCTGTACCATGCAGAGCTCCTGAGTGTCCATCAGTGGCCTGTGTGGTCCCAGCAGCCAATTTCCCAGTTTTCTCTGTGCCTTCTCTCCTCAGCTACAAGCCTATAGTAGAATACATCGACGCGCAGTTCGAAGCCTACCTGCAGGAAGAGCTGAAGATCAAGCGATCCCTGTTCAACTACCACGACACACGGATCCATGCCTGCCTCTACTTCATTGCTCCCACAGGACACTCGCTCAAGTCCCTGGACTTGGTCACCATGAAGAAACTTGACAGTAAGGTACTTGCTGCCTGTGCTTTCATTATCTTGCCATCTGCTCAGGGAAATCATGTCTGGGTTTAGTAGTGGAGAGTTGTGGACAAAAAAGTGTGAGAAGCATACCTTGGGCAAGCTGCTGCGACGAGTCATTATTCTGCTTCATGTGCTGCAGTGACTTATTGAAAGTTTGGACTCCTGCTCTTTTCCAGCTCGCCTTGGGTGGGGAGCTTGGCCGTGTGCTCCCCAGCTCATCTTTAAAGTCAAAGACAGTTGAGGTCGTCTTTCTAATCAGTGAAAAACAAATTGAAGTGCTATGTCTGCTTGCTCTGACCACAGCCAGCTAGACAAAAAGAGTGATTTGCTCTGCTATGGCAAATGTAGTGGTGTTTAGCTGTCATGTCATAAACAAGAATCTGAATAAATGTTACTTGGCATCTGCTCTTCCAGGTACCCTCATGGGCTTGGTTTAAACCATGGTTCAAAGGAGATGGCACCTCTTCTAGGAAAAATAACTGAAGTACAAATGTAGAGCCTGAGTAGCTAAACTGAGCCTTCTCTGTGCTCCTTTCCATCATGATTAAGCAATTTAAATCAGTCACTGTGCACCTTTGGCTCACTGGATCCCGATTCTGCAGGCCATCAATGATGACAGCGGCTCTTTGTTTCCTAGAGAGGCCGATTGACTGGGTTTTATGTGGTGATGGAGAAAGTTCCTTGCCTTCTTCAACTGAAAAAAAGGTTATGGAGATTTATCTCAAATGAGCTAATTGACATTCCTGTTCTATCTTTTGGCCAACGTGGATTTAATAACTCCAAACAGAATTAAGTGATGCAATGGAAGAGGATTTTCAAGTACTGTAGTTAAAATCCCTCCATGTAGGTCGATATTGCTGTTATCCTCAGTACAGTTTCTGTCTGCTGTTGCAAGGAAAATCAAACCTGTGGGATCAAAGGCAGAAACTGTCCCTCTAAAGGGAGGAGACAGGGAAAGAAGGCAGGCTCTCTATCCTTGTCAACAGCCTGTCTAGAGAAGAGATCTCTCATCTCGGAGCTGTGCAGGGAGAAGTGAGCCCTGGTCCTGCAGTGCAGCGGTGTCCAGGGGCATATGAGGGCACACAGGTGGGGGAAGTGTGCCTGTGTTACTGCCAGCCCTTGTCCTCTGTGTCCCAGGGCTGGGTAGGCACCATCTGCTTCCACCTCCTGTGGGGTGACATCAGCTCTGCTGCCCCTCCAGCGTCCCTGGTGACACTCCCTAAGCCAGGGTCCGTGACAGGCTGCTGTCTAAGCATGGCTCTTGTAGAAATCCATCCAGCTGCAGTACCAGGGAATGCACAGAGATGGTAATTTCCCTTTTTTTTTTTTTGAGCAGCTCATAATAATCTATGACAACATTTCCTATCCAGCCAATTCAGATGTGGAGGGCAGTACAACAGGACAGGAAATAGCATGTTGCCAAATTGTATTTGACTTCTTTGAGGCCATCATCACTGCTGCCTGGAAATCCTGACTGCAGCTCCAGGGAAGTTGATCTGCTGGGGTGCTGACTGGTGGCACTTTAGGGCTGTCACTGCATGTCCTGCTCTGTCCTCTCCCAGAGACACAACCTGTGCAGTCCTGTATGCAGAAGTGCTGTCCTGTCTTGCAGGTGAACATCATCCCCATCATTGCCAAGGCTGACACCATTGCAAAGAACGAGTTGCACAAGTTCAAGAGTAAAATCATGAGTGAGCTGGTCAGCAACGGCGTGCAGATCTACCAGTTCCCGACCGATGAGGAGACGGTGGCCGAGATCAATGCCACCATGAGTGTATGTTATCTGGGGGGGGTGGTTGGCCTTGCCTTGCCAAGGCTTTGATGGCTGTGCTTTGTCTTGCTTAGCTTTAAAACTGCAATTTAAGCACAGACACATCAGCCTGGCCAGAAGGCTTTTGGAGGCTGGTGCTACCTGGTCTGCTACATTTCCTTGTGTGACAAACACATCTCCCCCCTTGCAGGTCTCACATCCTTCCCTGGTTGCAGTATTCCTGTCTCAGGAAAGGAAGAGGATGGGAGGCAGGGCCCCAGTGTGGTCAGGGCAGAGAGCTGAGGTTTGGCTTTCCTGTCCCAAACGACCACTCACTGCTTCGTGGGGGTGATTAATTTGCTGCTGCCTTTGTTTTGGTTTCCGCTGGGAGCGGGGCACTGGCACTGATGTTCCAGCACTCTGCATCCCATCAGCAGCTCTGGCTTCCACCTCCTCCCCTGCCTCTAGACATGGGGTGGAAGCTGAGGGCACTCAGGGCTAGACTAGACCTAACATTCCAGTGGGGGTTACCAAGGGAAGCAGCTCTTTGCCATGGGCCTTACTCGGGCTGCAAAGGGAAGAATCTGAGCTCATGGTCGCTGGCAGTGAGGTGTTGAGTGGCCCCAAGGGGATGTGCCAGTCCTAAAGCGAGTGCACTCAGATGAAGCTATTTCCTTGCTACTTGAAGGCTGTTGTGAGTTTTCCTGCTCAACGGCTTGTAGATGGGCAATTATCTCATCCTAAATGTTAGACCGTCTCCAAAGCTCCCTATTGCCTCTCTTCCTGTTTTGAGCAGAGAGAAGCTGGCACAGAGAAGGCATGTGCTCTACCAGGGTGCATTGTGTGCGGTGCTTTACCTTCCTCAGGTGCAGCCTGGCTGCTGGGAAGCCCCTTTGCCAGCTAATCCCATCTCCTCTGCCCTGACATTTTCCCCTCCCACCCAGCCTGTGACCACAGCTTGGCTGACAGAGCTCCTGCTTCCAATGCAGCCAGCCCTGTTGGATGCTGTTAAGGCAGGGAGAGTTCTGCTGGGCTGGTCTGGGCTGGCATCTGAGGCGAGCTTCTTCCTGGCAGCAGCCACACTTCTGGGAGTAGGTCCCAGATTGTCGCCACCACACCCACGGAGAGACCTGGACAGAGCAGAGCTCCATGACTCAGACGTGTCAGCCTAGGGCTGGGTCAGCTCCGCTCTTCCCCTTGCTCACAGCTTTGCCCTGTTAAAGAGGAAGCATTAGCAGTTCTTTGTAGCAGCAAAACCCCCCTCATTTTTGCCTTCCTTGAGAGGATGTAGTTTATTTTCTTCTTTGTTGCACAGTTCTTTTTTCTTGGTGTTTAAATTCAGTTCCAGTTTGTAAGACTTGTTCCGTGCTTAAGAAAGTAGTGCTTTGTAATTAAATGGAACATACGTACCTATCTTGTGTTTTTAGGACTTCAGAATTTTGGGCTTTAAGTCTGATCAGGTTTCTCATCCAGATTGTCCTGTTGCTCTTCCTGAAACACCAGACGAATTGCAAAGGCGTTTAAACAACTTAAATTTAGCAGAGCTGCCCCAGTAAACAGCTTTCTTGAGAAACAATCTCTGGCAAGGCAGCAAAGGAAATCCCCGGCCTCATTGTCCCTTTCCTTTTGTAGGTCCACCTTCCTTTTGCCGTGGTTGGCAGCACCGAGGAAGTGAAGATTGGCAACAAGATGGCAAAAGCCAGGCAGTACCCCTGGGGTGTCGTGCAGGGTATGTTAGCAAGGGCACAAGCAAGGCTTTCTCACCCTGTCCCCTTCTGATCCAAGAATGACCAGTTCTGTTACTTCCGTCTCTGGATGGCCCCTACCAAAATCTGGCTTCAGAGAGCACAGCTTAGATCTGGACACGGAGCCAAAAGCTCCTTCCTGTAGGAGGGCAGAGTTTGGCCAGGGCACTGTTTGCAGCCCAGGCTTTACTGAAGCTGCCAGAAATCCAGAGCTGATCCTTGCTTTCCAGCCAGCACGGAGAAGTACAGGATTGAGATGGTGATGGTCTCCTTGTGGCTTCAGTTGTGTATCCCGTTGGAGAATGGCCCAGGAAGCTGCAGGAGAGCTTTCACAGTGCAGTTCTGCAAAACTCTCTGGCTTCTCAGTAATACCACCTGACCCTGAAGCAGCTTCAGAGACTTCAGCTGTGTTCACCAGAGGATGGTACTGGGAAAAACAGTTAGGAGAGAAGCTGATGTGTTTGGGAGGTCTTGGACTTTACCTGTATCCTGCTGGGTTCTTGCTGTTCCCAGAAAACTAGGACCAGATAGTTTGAGATTCAGTTTAGACTTTGCCACTGTAAGCCCCTGTGAGTGCTAGGATTTTGAGTGGGTTTGGGTGGGAAGTGAAATCCTGTGAACCAATGGATCATCACCTCACCAGATCATCACGGTGCAGAAATGGATGGGGAGGTGGGAGCCCTGTGACAGATGGGCAATGCACAGATCTTGAAATCCAGTGCAGGCCTTGAACTCGGACCCCTGCTGGCGTGGGATGGCTTCAGCCCCAGTTCAGCAAGGCATTTTGGTGTGGCTGACTTGCAGCTGTGCTTGTGTGCCTGAAGAACTCTGAGGTTTGCTACACTGGGACCCAGATCCAGGGAAGGGGGAGCCCAGCTCCTAGGTTTTGTGTTCTCTCTGTGGATATTGTGTTGTTTTTGCAGTTGAAAATGAAAACCACTGTGACTTTGTGAAGCTGCGGGAGATGCTGATCCGAGTGAACATGGAGGACTTGCGGGAGCAGACGCACACCCGGCACTACGAGCTGTACAGGCGCTGCAAGCTGGAAGAGATGGGCTTCAAGGACACGGATCCGGACAGCAAACCTTTCAGGTAGGGACGTGCACGCCAGGCACTGCTGTGCTGTGCAGCCAGCTTGCTCTGCTGCTGCTCAGGGCTGCCTGAAATTCCAGGCAGGAAAAGTGCAGCTGCCTCTGTGTGACAGGAAGGTGGCCCCTGCGTTGGGGACATCCTGGGGTAAGTCATCTTTTGACCCTCCTGGAGCTCTTCACAGCTGGTCCAAGGTGAGCTGTGAAGAGGGTGCCACGGTCTCATGCCTGAGGTTTGGCTGATTACTCAATACATAGTTCATTCTGTCAGACAGCTTTATTGGTCTGCAGCCCAAGCCATTAGCCAGGGACAAACAGCTGTGTGGGAATTTGAGAGGGAGTGTTTTTCTCCCTTCATTTCCTGTTTCCCATTCCTCCCCAACTTTTCCCAGGTAATTGCAGCTCCTGCCTCAAGGCATCCCGCATTCCTCTGTGCCTCCCGGGGAAGGCAGTCAGAATTCCAGTGCACCCATGGGGGTTTGCCCCTGTAACACATGTGCGTGTCAGGGGTTGGCATTGGTTTGGGGTCTTGTTTCTGACTTGCTGAGTTGATGCAGCTGTACTTCTTCTACAGCAGAAACTCTGCTGGAATCAGTCAAGCCCAGTTCTGTTAGTAAGCCTAAGTGTGAAGCTTTATTGGATTTCCTTTCTGGAGAGCAATGGCTTAAGATGGGCTCAGCCCTTCCTTTAGAGGAATCTGAGGAATTTCCATTGCTTCCTGTACACGAGACCTCTTTTGACCAAGCTATAAGTAGAAAGGAAATGAAAACGTACAGAATTTTTCCATGTGGTACGTGCTAGTTCAGAGCAGTTCACTCTGGATGCCTTTTCCCTCCAATAAACAAACAAAACCTATGATCCCAAGCTGTTTGGCTGAGGCTAATGTATGTCTGAAACGAGGGAGACGTTCTCTCTGAGCTCAGGGATCAAAAGGATGCTTTTCCTTGCATCTTGGCCCTGGGAGCCACAGGAACTGCTGCCCTTCAGCCAGGAGCAGGGAGCCTTTGGCAAGTGTCAGGGGGAGCAGGACAGGAGGTCCCAGCAAACCATTGGTGCCATTCAGGGGCTTGTGTGAGGCGTGGAAAAGGGGCACTGGTAATGTCTGAGACCCCCCACCTTGCTTGGCCAGGCTGCACAAGGTCAGGAGGGAGCACCAGGATCCCAACAGACATCAGCTCCATGAAATAGGGTTTCTGCACAGAGACCCTTTTGCTGTCGTGTGTCTGTTGTGGGCTGGATTCTTTGCTGCTCTGGTTAAGCTTTTCAAAATACTCCTTTTTCAAATAATATTATTTGCCAGGGCATCCTTCAGTGTGTGGGGGCGTGTTGGGAAATCAAGTTACTCTCGTCGTTTAGGTTCATATGTTTGTGTACTTAAAAGCCAATTCCCTTGTCATCTTTGCCTGTGAGAAGCTCCAGGGATCCCAGTTGGTTTGGACTGTTATTCCTTAGGGCTGCAATTGTTTTTTTTTTCACATGCAGCCTGGGAGTTGCCAGGCCAGTTTCTCTGAGAACTTGGCTCCTCTGGAAGTCAGAGTCACTGCTGCAGAGAATGAAGCTTTGAACTTGGGACAGTTTAACAGGAAGCCCCTGCCCCTCTCACGCCTGCCAGGCTTTTCCTGCTTGCCCATCACCCTGCATGGTGTTTTTGGAAGTGAGCTTTGGAAGAAGTGGTTTGCAGGCCAGGATCCGATGAGTGCGGAGCGCTCTGTGAGGCTCTGCTGCTCCCTAGGACAGCGTGGCACTAATTGCAGATTCAGTTTGTGCTCACTGAGCAGTAAAGGCTCACCTGCCCTCGGGCTTTGCCAGATCCTTCACAAGGGCTTAGTAATTTAAGTTTATGTCCATAGTCAGAGGATTAAATCCAATGCTGAATTTTAGGGAGATGTTGTTTTGTGTCTCCTGAAGTCTCTATGCTGTGAGAGGTCTGGTTCTGCATGTAGCTGAGAATCCAAAGATAGCTCTTGCCCTGCTCTCCCACGAAAGGATTTTTGTCGTTTTTAGAATCAGTATTTTTGCTTCCGTGTGTAGGAAGCTGGTGTGGTCATGTGGAATGGTGTGATTTCTCTGGGGCGGCCAGTGCTGTGCCAGAACAGCTCTGGGCATCCTGTCTGGAGGGTATTTTTAGGAAGTAAGTGAAGTGCCTATTAATTAGCAGAGTTAAATACAAGGCTTGGCATAATCTGACAAGTTGTGTTCCCCAGCTCAATATTGCTTCCCCTAAGAAAACCCCAGCTAATAAAAAAGGCATCAAAGCCCCCAACAATGCTAGGAAAAGTAAAAGCTTGACTTTATTGCAATTAGGATGTTCCAGTGGCCCAACAGTTAATGTGTTCCTTAGGCACATGGATGCAACCTGTGTGTGTGACTTCAGTGGAGTTTTCATTTAAAAAATGCTTTTTCAGAAAAGCCTCTTGGGGGAAATAGTTATCATTCCCACACTATCATTATGGCGGGGTTATCCAAATCCATTTAAGGAATAAAACAAAAGAGGAATTTGACATTCAGAGTTCCTAAGAGGCTTTAAAAATCTCAGAAGTACATGGACAATTTTATGTCCCAAATCTTTACTGCCTATCTCAGTGCTGGGGAAATGAAGGAATGCCAAGGAGTAGAGGGGGAATGAAGTAGTCCAGTAATGTGGTTATTTGAAGTAGGAAGGCTGCTGATGGTTTGGAAAAACCAAAGGAGAAAGGGAGGTCTGCCAGGATGCCTTTATCTAAATCAAACCCCTCATCTGAATCTATTAGCAATGAATAGTGAAAATGAGTTCTGCTCTGTATTGGTGTCGTGGTTAATGAAGGGGCAGATTTCACCCCAGGTCTGCTGCACAAATCTTGCATTTGGAATGAAGAGACTTCACACAAACAAGGGGAGAAGGAGGCGGTGTGGCTCCGCGGGATCACCAGCCCCATGGGCATCGGGGTTTGCTGCAGGCACTTATGTAGAGGCTGCTTGTCTTGGAGGACAGTCACCCTGCCTGCTGAGTGATGCACGGCTGAGCAGCGAACTCGGCTCTTCCTTTCCATTCGCCTCCCACTGCTGCCACCTAGCAAGCTGGGATGGCTTTTGTGGAGGTGATGCTGCCTCTGCTGGAGCCTCTGACCCTGTTTTGTGACCAGACAACTTAAGTGCTAAGGCTTCCAAAGGCTGGAAGTTCCTGGCTCTGCTTGAAACACTGCTTTGATTGGGTTTTGTGCGTTTTTAACAGCCTCCAAGAGACTTACGAAGCCAAGAGGAATGAATTCCTGGGTGAACTCCAGAAGAAGGAGGATGAAATGAGGCAGATGTTTGTCATGCGAGTGAAGGAAAAGGAAGCAGAGTTGAAGGAAGCAGAGAAGGATGTGAGTATATTGTAACTTGGAGGGCTTGGGACAGGCTGTTACAGAACATGTCCTGCTGGGGTGGGAAGCTGCTCCTCAGGCCTTGTGCTGCTGCAGAGGTGCAGACAAGAGTACAGCCCTCAGTGCTCCTGTTCCCTTGCTCTGCACAAACCTGATAGAGTCCACTAGGTACAAAGCACTGAGGGATGGAATAGGAGGGTGTGGAAGAGGCCTGCTGGGTTCCTACAACAGTGGGAATTCCCACTCTGTGTGTGCCAGTGAGTGTTACCTGCAGGGGACAGGCTGGTGGCTTGCAGGCAGTGCAGGGAGGCCTCGGTGCCAGCAGGAACACTTGGGGCATCATTACCAGTAAATTGGGGTGGAACATTCCTCTCTTGCCAGCCAGTTCTCACGGTCTCTGTCCTGGCAGCTTCATGAAAAGTTTGACCATTTAAAGAGGACTCACCAAGAAGAGAAGAAAAAGGTGGAAGACAAAAAGAAGGAACTTGAGGAAGAGCTGAACAACTTTCAAAAGAAGAAGGCAGCAGCTCAGCTATTACAGTCACAGGCTCAGCAGGCAGGTTCTCAACAAACCAAGAAAGACAAGGACAAGAAAAAGTAAGCAGCTGTCACCCACACCCTTTGTAGGGTTTGTTACCAGTTTTGGGGTTTGGTTTTTTTTTTCTTTCTTGCTGCATGTCTGTATTTGCTTTTCCCCATTACCAGACTGGAAACAGGCATTTTCTCAGCCTGGTCAAATAAAATATTTTTTTTCTAAAGGGTGGGCCAGGGACATGATCTTAATTTTTCTCTGGAAGAGTACCTTCAAATTCTCTCTTCAAATCTGACTGGTGTGGGAGAGCAATTGGATGGTAGTGTTTTGGTTTGTGATCTGTCCAGCATCTTCTGGAACTATGGGATGTCTGGACTCAGATTTATCTGCCTGAGCCAGAATTATTAAGGTAGTTGCTATCCGTCCTTTCTTTCACTGGTAGTCTCCAGTTCCCATTCCTGAAGGTTATGGTTGTAAGTAGAAGTAAATTAGAAACCAAAACCACCATGTTATTTTTACATGGGGAATGCTAGTGCCAAAAGTGAAGACTTGGAAGCTTGCTCTAAAGACAAGAAGCTTTGGTTTTGTATTTTTTTTAGAAAAACAAACTACTATGGTACCGTAATTGCAGTTAAATGGCATTTGTGGTTGTATCAAGTTGACATAATAAGCTAAGAAACTCTTTACTTTTTAGTCAAGATCATGGCACTGTTTTTTACTATTTTATATTTGTGTCTTAGGAGTGTAATCCTTTGCCCCTCCCCTGGCTTTTTCCATTCCTAGTGGGAGGGTGCTCATGCAAGTTCTTAGTGAGGCACCTGTGCTAAGGGTGCTTAGTTGGTACCTGGCATTTGGAAAGCTGGGATTGCAGCAAATCTCACTGGAAAACACTTGTTTGACCCACACACAAAAATGACAGTCCCACGCTGCTTTCACTGCGCAAGAGAGAAGGGGGTGTTCCTTACAGGAGCACGGGTGGTGTCACCCTGGAAAAGCCAAGTGCCAGCAGGGTTGTGGCTCAGACACTTGTGTCTGCCAGCCCGGGAGCTGCAGCCTGGCCTGGGCTGTGTGGCAGCAGCTGTGCTGCAGGTGCCCGGGGCTGTTACAGCTTTCCCCCTCGCTGCATGGCCCCTGTTGCTGCTGCTGGTTCTGTGCCTGACCTTGGTCACTGCTGCCCGGGGCGGGTGGGGAGGGCTGGGGCTGTCTCCTCAGCTGCTGTACATTGATGTAGCTCCTATGGAGCCGTGCTGCTCGCTGCTGGCTGAGGATGTGGCCAGGGCCCCCTCTGTGGAGCGCTGTGTGCTGCACGCTCTGCTCGGGGAGAACTCCTCACAGTCCAGAGCCAGGCATGACAGGCTGAGCACTGGAACCAGCCCCTGTCGGCAGCTAAGGCCAGGCATGCTGAAACACCCTGCTGCAGATAGCTGGGACACTCATCTTCTCTCACTCAGATCTCAGACATGCTGATGCATTCCCTAAAGAAATTAGAAAGTTTCAAAGATGCTTGTCCTTACCTCTCAGAGTTGGTAGCCTAATATTTTTAAGAATTGCACAGCCAGATTTTTTCATCTCCTAGCTGTAGGGCCAGTGCAGTACAGAATGGTCTGGGGAGTTCTGTCCCTTTGGGTGGTCAGTGTGAGCTCCTGTTTGGTTCCAGCCTTGGGGGTGAGACAGGGCTGTCCCCAGCGACCGTGACAAACGCAGGTTCTGCTTTGCTGCTGCATTCACAGAAATCCAGCCTCGAGGAACATGCCTGTGTTTTAGTGTGTCCTTTGTGTCGCTCCACGCCAGGTGCTGTACCTGCTGCAGGTGTTCTCTAGTGTCAGAGTTACTAACAGAGGCTTTAAAGGGAAATACTGATGCTCCTGCCTTGTAGCTCACCTTGGTTTTCTAAAGGCTTTCAGTTTCTCCTTGCACTCTAATGTGGAGCTGCAGTTTTTGTAGTTAGGCTTCCAGCCTCTCTCTCTGCTGCCATGGCCTGTGGTGCTTCTTGTGCTGTTGCCAGAGGAAATCCTTGCCATGCTCAACCCTTGCAGCATCCCCACCAAGTAGTTAATGGGAATGCTTTATTTTCTCAAGGTGGGATCGGATTTCTTTGATTTGGACAAGAGAGACTTTCCGCTGTGCTGTGCATGCCAGAGGGAAGGCTCAGGGTGAAATCTGCTGCTGGCCTGACTCCATGAGGGAGAGCTTGGCCTTCCTGATTTCCAGACTATTCCTCCAGAAATTCCCTAGCTTGTACTCTTTTTTTATCTAAAAAGTTTAGGGCTTCTGGCCTGACAGCAGCAGTGTTTGGGGACAGCACACCTGTGTCCCTCAGGCACTGAAGGGATGGCTGCAGAGGAAAATCAGGCACTGGCCTGGACATGGGGCTGAGCCCCTGCTGTAGGGGACTGTGCTTCCAACTTGACCAGTCTGGAGAGAGCTCCTGGCAGCAGAGCCAGTGGGAGAGGCAAGCAGCCTTCTGGTGCTTGCCTGCTGCTGGCTAGATGGCCACATGCCTCAACATGTGCCGTTGTGTTGCTGCTCATCCACAGCCCCCCAGGAGCCAGGACCATCTGTTTGGCTTCTGTCTCTATTTATTTAAAGCTGCTTCTGAAAGCCAAGTGTAAAACTTTTTTTTTTTCCCTCCAGTTTCCTTTCCACTTAAGTTTCCAGTGCAGTGTGCCTGGTCTGGCTATCGGGGACCATGCTTGTCCCAAAGCAGTCCCTGAGCTACAACACCCATGTCAGAGCCTGGCCCAACACCCTGTAAAAAGAGGGGGTTTGGTGGTGCCTGAAGGATCTGACCTGGCTGTGAAAGCCCAAGTGCTTGGAGACATCCTGGTGTCCAGGTGTGAGATACCTGAGCTACCTCCTGCAAGGATGCCCATGGGAAGTACCCCAAGCTGGCCACCTGCACCCATGTCCTAGCTGGGAACAAATGAGCTCTAAAGCCACCAAGCTCTGTGGTGACAGGCTGTAACCTGGGCCGGCTTACAGGGTTGGTTGCTCAGTAGTTCTGTCCCCCCAGTTTTTCTTTTTGCTTTTGCTTGTTATAGGCTGGAATAGAGCCCAGCCTTGAGGTTGAATTTCTTTGTAATTCTGTAATCCATCTGCATGCCCACCCACTGGAGCGGGTTGCTGGTGTTGGCTCTCCTGGCTTTCTTTATTTTTTTTTTTGCATTTTGAGTTCAATTAGTGCTAACTTTTTTGTTTTTTGTTCTGTTTTTTAACTTGCAGTGCAAGCTTCACATAAAGCCTGTCGAGCCAAGGATGTTCCTGCATTCACCTGCTTTTGCAGTAATGTGTCTCTGCCATCTGTTTTCTTTTTATATTTTTTTTCCATTTTTTTAACATGAATAACTATTAACTCATCTAATAACATAGTGGGAACAAGAAGGAAGAGGGATTGGGTGCAGGACTGCGTGTGAGTGGATGTTCAGGGGTGGGTGGAGGGACGAGGTGATAATGATGACACCATGCGTTTTTCTCACCAAAACCATCAGCAGCAAATTATTTTTGGCCCCCAGTCTGAACCAAGAGTCAGAGTTGGATGTCAGCAGTTCAGGTATTGGCTGGCTCAGGTGCCCTCAGCTGTGCTGTGGGAGCCCCAGGGAATGAGTGTTGTAGGAATGTCCCAGCCAGGCCATGGCTGAAGCTGGAGTCGATTCTGACCCTTCAGGAGCTGACGCGTTCAGCAGCCCCAGTCCCTGCCAGGGAGAGGGAGGGGGGTGTGTGTAGATAACCAAGTGTAACTGACCTTGCATGCCGTGACATTTGCATGATCATTTGTGTTAGTTCCTGTTCTGTGCTGTCTGCCCTGGCCTGGTTTTCCAGCCTCCCTTCCCTCAGCAGAGCCGCAGCTGCCTTGGGGAAGGAGCATTCCCAGCACTGCTCTCCCTGCACTACTTGCCTCAAACCTTTGGGGCCTCCCTTAAAATCCTGCCTGGTTTCCAGCGGGTGGGGATCTTAGCAAGGCTTAGCAGCCCTCATGGAACCAAATGCCTGGGCAGGGGGGAGATAGAGCCTTCAGCATCCTCTTGGAGCTTCCAGGAGCATGTGGGATCCAGAATTCCAGGTCACGGGAGAGAAGGTGCCTGGACAGATGGCACTGCACTGCCCCCCAAGCCTCCTGCAGCAGGAATAATGTCCCATTCAGGTGTCCCTAGGACATGCCAAGGAGGTGTAGGGTAAGCCAGGCCCTGCTCTCTGGCCAGCACGCAGTGGAACTGGGGCTGTTTAAAGTGTTTTTTCCATGCCATTGCTTTCAGACTGTCTTTCCCTTCCTTCCCAAGGAGTGGGGAGCTGTGCTTACCATGTGACTCCTGGATTTCTTCCTCTGCCAGTGTACAGCCAGCACTTACAATGCTCCTAGCTAGGCAGTCTCTTTAAAGCCTTCTTACACTAAACTCTTCCTACCCGAGTCTCCCACTATAGCTGTTTGCCTGCTTCTGGATGGAATTTCTCTGGGGGAAAAAGGCAGAATTGCTACTTCTTTTCATCACTTTTTCCTCAAGTGCTGGATTGGCAAAGTGCTTGGAGGTTAGCTTATGGGTTGTCTTGCTTTTTAACCCTCGCTGCTTAAACATGGCTTCAGGAAGAGGATATCTAGGTACCATGTCTTGGACAGACAACAAAATTGGATAAATAAACTGGAAATAAATCAGTTGATCTTTTTATCCTTTAAAAAACAATTTATTTTAGGTTTTTAAGTTGTTTTTTAAAATATTATTTTTTGGTTTTGTTGTTTGGGTTTGTTTTTTTCCCCCCTCCTGGAGTTGCCAACTATGCACTTTTCATCAGGTTAAATAGGTTTGCTGCAGGGTTAGTTGGAAAAATGAAATTCTGGTTCTTGTGGTTTCTGGCAAACCCAGCTTTAAAATCTTGAGTTGTGAAGGAAGAAGTTTGAGTTGTTTGCATGAGTTTTTTACAGTCACATCACATGCCCATCACAGAGTGCTTGTGGCAATATGCTTTGCTTCAGCTGCCTCTGTGCATGTCATCTTTTTAATTACCAGTGTTTTGTGCCAAGTAGAAAACTTAATTTTAACATTTATTTCTCCTGCTTCATTTAACAGCCCTTCAAGGGATGTTTAGCAGGGGAAATCAGCTGAGCTGAGCTTTTCCTTTTTGACAGAAAGCTGTGGCCAAGTGCATTAGTGTCTTTTTGGTTGAGCTTTTCTCTAGCAGAAAACAAGCTGTGTTGGAGAAACTGGGAATAAACCACAAACTTGAAGATGTCAAAGGTACTGTTTTGGTTTTTTGCCAGAGGAGATGGAAATTACTTTTTTCCCCATCTTGAACCCCTGGGCCATGTTTAGCTTGTTCCTGCTGCTCTGGTTGCTTTCTTTTCCCTGTGCCTTCTTTCCCAGTAGCCCCTGATGTGTATGCAGTGAATGGTACGCTCAGGTCTGGCTGGATGTGCTTTCACCTCTGCATGTAAGTACAGCAGGAGGAGACTGACCCTTCCTGCCTCGCTCCTGACAGGAGACCAGCTGTGCTTTTCTGGGAGATTCTCCAAGTCCACTTTCTTGCAAGTGGGGCGCTTAAAACTGCTCTAAAACTGCATGTTCCTCACAAGGTGGATTTCAGTCCTTAGGCTAATACAGAGAAGCAGGAAAGCACGCTGAAATGAGCTTTTTCTGGGATGATGATGTTCCCAGGGCATGAAGCAAACCCCCAGAATGGAAAAGCAAAGATAGTCTAGGGCTCTGTGAGGGGCTGTGGCTGCCCTGTAGAGAGGGGCCACATGTGGCTCTGGCAGGCAGTGGGAGAGGAGGAGGTGGATAAAGGGCTTGTTCCTCCAGAACCTTCTGGGGATCACACAGCTCCTTTGAGGGAGGGCAGTGAGTAGGAAGGTGCCCTTGGAGCTCGTGGTTGTGAAATGCATCATCTTGAGATGCATCTCCTGTGGCGCTCCAGGGGCCACAGGGGAAAGCAGGCACTGGCAGCCAGCACGGGCTCCTCTCCAGCTGGAGAGCTGCTGCTCCTGTCACCCCCTCCGTGACAGCTTCAAATCCCAGCAGGGAGCTGCATGTCTCCCTGGAAGGACATCCATGTTAAACAGGACCGATGGTTCTGCAGGCAGCTCTCCTTCTGCTTCTCCCAAGCTGTCCCAGTGCGGATGGAAATGTCTTTTTGTGTGTGACCACGGCAGATGGGTCCCTGTGACTCCAGTCCCCTTCCGTGTCCCTTCTCCGAGGGCCCGGGCTGCACGTGCAGGGTGTGATGCCTGTGGTGCTTTTGCCAGCACGTGCCAGCACGGAGCTCTACAAACATGAAGGGTTTTTTAATTAATGGGAAACAAAGCTGTGAACAGCGGTAGAAATCTTGTATTTTTAATATCCTGATTGCCTTAAACCATAGATGTAGGACTTTATTACCTTGCTATTGGAAAATAACCCATGTTTGTAACTAAACAATTGTGTAACCTACATACAGTGTTAATGCAAATGATATGTATGCATCTGTTAGATATTGTCACTTTATTTGATGTTAAAATATTTCAGTTTTTGAATTACAGATGGAATAATAACCTTCTAGCATAAGCTCAGTTATTTCTTGTATATGCTTCAGGCTGCAGATCCAAATAGTGCCAACACTTGAAGTGGGGAGAGGAAATATATTTTTACCCAAAGCTTTGGTCTTTGCGTGGCCTCTGTGACATTTGCTGTTGCCATTCTGTGGCGGGGCGACAGGAGGGTTACCTGTCAGCCTCTGCCTCCCCAGCAGGTTGTTCTGTGCCTTTGAGGTGCCTCTGTAGGTTTGTGCTGGTGTTTGTCAGTCGCTTCTTGTGGTGGTCATGAGCTTGTTCCACACCTCAGCCGGTGTCCCGGGGAGCTCGGGCCAGAGCCGATATGTGTGACACCTGCCCAGTACATTCCCTCCCCCGTGACTCGTATTAAAATGTTGTTCCTCCTTTGTTCCCCCCACACACCCTCACTTTTTCATTTCAATTCTGAACCTCTGTTTCTTTTCTCTTCTGTTTTTCTCTTTTTCTGTAGCTTCTTCTTTATGTAACCGTCACCTTGCCAAAGCCCCCACACCCTCTCTCCCAGTGGACCGCAGGGCACTGGAAGAGCTGCGGATCCGGGCACCCCTGCCAGGAGAAGAGCCATCTCATTCCTCCATCACGTCTGCCCTCCTCTCCTTCCCCCTTTGTTCCCACCCGTGCGTCTGAGGGTGTGCTGTGCTGTGTGTCTGTGCGGGATCTGCCCGCTCCCGGCGCGCCTCCGACAGCGTCCAGGCTTCCAGCACTGCCAGAGGGAACGGCTGCCGGAGGGAGCTCGGCCGCACTGTGACTCCTTGCTCTGGGTTAGTTGGATTTTTTTGCCTCCCTCCCCGTTTTCTTTTGCCATAACATGCACACGCTGCTGGTGACACCTAGAATGACAGACTGGGGCTGAGTGAGCGTAGCTGGAGGATTTCATTTCTGCCTCAAGCCTGGCTGCTTTGAACATCACAACTCCATCTCAAGGGTGTCCTGTGCTCCTCTGGCACGGCTGGAAATCTCTCCATAGACCTGGTGATGTTCTCAGTGTGTCACTGTGTGACAGTGGATGTCCCATCCTGTGGCACTGATGGAGCCTGTCCTGGACAGTCAAGGCCTTATTTTCTGGCTGTGCCTCGCAATGGGCAGAGCAGGATTTGGTTTTGTACAGCTGAGCTGCTCTGGCTCGCACTTAGATCCAAGGCTTCATTTTGTTGTCATGAAGCCTAATTAGTGATTATTTTTTTTAACAGTCCTGAATGTGGGCAAGTTGTTAAAATTTCTACCTTGTTTACTTTGAAAGTGAACTCAATCAAAAAGTCTGAGAAGTGCCAAAGGATTGCTTGAAGGTAAAAACAAAACCTGTAAATGTGTGTAGTGACCTCCAGCTGGTTTGGGATGGAGGCAACCCAAGCCTTGTAGGGATGTTGTTTTGTGTAGAGTGATGCACTTTGATTTTTAACCGAATACTAGTGATTTATTCTTTGCATCTGTGAACCTTAATCAAAGAATTCTCTTCCTTTAACCTGCCGAGGTAGAGCTACCCTCAGTTGGTCTAGGTTTGGCCTCTGGCAGTCAATGTGTGACATGCCAGCTACTGAGGGGCTCTGCTGAAGTCGGCTGGGGTTCTTTTTCAGAAGCACAGTATTTTGTAGCACTCTCCAGTGACAAGGGTCAGCTCCCTGCAGCCAGGTGGAAGAAAAACTGCTTGTCCTGGAAACCTTTGCAACCAAAGAAGTGACTTTATAGATACACTCAGAAAGGTTATTGAGTGTTGGCCTCGGACGTGCCGTACCCTGGTACGTAGCTGGACTTGCTGGCTGTTGTCCATGCTGAAGGGCTGTGAATATTTGCACAAGTGTAGCTTGGGACAGCATTTGCAGTGATACCAAAACCAGAGCCTGCCCTGCTCTTGAGGCTGCAGGGGCCTCAGGTGGTGCCCAGTGCCTCCCACCAGATGGCCAGGTCAGAAACCTGTTCAATTCAGCCTTGTGCGTACAAACCCTGGCTGTGTCTGTGTCTGTCTTGCTCTGCAGAGCTCTGTGGGCGTTTGTCTTAACTGAGAACCACCACTTGCAGGATGGGATCCCTCTGTGCCCTGGGCCACCACCCCTACCAAAAAGCCATGGTTTGAGCTGCACGTTTTCAGAAAAAAAATAGTGAGTAACCATGCAGCCAAGGGCTGCTGGGGCTCAGGGGATGCTGGTGCTCAAGCCCCTCCTGTGCCTCATGCAGGCCAGTGTTCCCCCAGCCCAGGGTTCTCTGCCCACAGAGGTGGTCACTGTTGACTGAGAACGTGCCTTGCCCATTAAATGCCCAGTTTAGCCTGTCTTTTCTTCCAGTGGTGGCACCTGTGCCAGTCTGCAGTATCACTGACCACTGCAGGGGCCCAAGGGCTTTGGCTGCGGGCTGTGCAGCCATGGTAGCCTGCAGCTTGCCCAGGTACCCTGCTGACTGCTTGCCCAGCAGCCACCCCAGCCTCTGGATGGCTCCTGCAGCCTTCTGTGGGACCGACTTCCAGGGCGGGAATCCTCTCCTTGTGTTCCCCTCTGTCCTCGTACCTCTTTGTTGTTCCTTCTAAACTCCAAATGGCATTATTTTAAAAGCCTAATGTAAGGAGAAGCAGATGGGCACAACCCAAATGTGGATACTCACACGGACTGCCTTTATTTTGCAGCTCTGTAGAGTTGTGCTGTGCTGGTGCCTTGAGTCCTGCTTGCAGCTCTGGACCTCGTGTCTGCAGGAGGACATAGCGGAGTTAGAGAAGGGCACTAATGGGAGTTGGGATGGAGCAGCAGCGTGCCAGGTGAGGCGGCTCCGTTTGGAGAGGGAAAGGCAGAGGTGAGGGAGGATCCAGCCCTGCTGCGAGCAGGAGCTGGCAGCACATGACCTCTAGAGGTCCCCTGCAGCCTAAATTTGTGACTGTTCGGACGCTCCATGGCTGTGCGCGCCGAGCTGCCGGTCACCAAATCGTTCACAAAGTGGGTTCAAAACATCATAAAGCTATATGGAGCAGGTTTCTTACAGAGCAGGTACTAAACTTCCGGGGTTTTTTTTTGCCCCGGGTTGTTGAGGTGGCCGGTGTCAGCAGAAGGTTTTGCGGTTTGTTTGGGTTTTTTTAAGGGTAGATGGAGGGAGAACGGGTCCATAAGGAAAACAGTCCCGCCCGGTTGGTGGTGGATACAGGGCGGAGGGAAGGGAGCAGAAGGCTCCGACGCTGTGAGCGGTGTCTGTGGAAGGAGGGGCGGAGCTGCCAGAGGCTGTGGCGGGGGCTTTCCCACACCCCAGAGCTGGGAGAAGGGGTGGAACGTGAGCTTCAGCTGCTTCCTGCATGGCTGCTGCTCTTGGGGAGGAGGTGTCAGCGCTGGGAGGTTATTTGTTACCAAATGTCCCCCAGCGGAGCTGGGAAAGCCACTTCATCCGCTCCCAGTTGAAAAGCTGTGCTTTGGCGTTAACCCTTGTGTGGCTGCGAAGCATCCCTGCTCTTGCCTGCAGAGCAAATCCTCCAGGGGCTCAGGGGAGCAGCACAGTGTGTGAGGGTGAGCTGGGATTGCAGCTACACACTTGGGAACAGGCAGCAGTGCTCTGCACGATGTGGCTGCTGTGCCTGGGGAGCTGCCTGGGCTCGGGGCACTGAGCAAACACTTGGGTTTGGGAATGCAGTGGGTTTATCCCAGTGCTCCTGTAGCAAATGCTGGGCTCCTGGCCTGCACTGCTCTGGGCCCTCTGGAGCACAGATCCTGTGTTGGCATCTTGGGTAGGGCTGTGACATGAAGCACTAGGGTGCTGTGAGGTTTGTGGGAAGGTCGCATGAATGTGAGGAGCCAAGGGCATCAGGGAATGTTTTGCTGTGGGAAACAGGGAGCCTTGGCAGTGGTCCAGCATGGCCCTGTGTTCCAGCAGCGGGTGCAGATAGAAGTCAGCCTGCTGCTGAAGGTGATGGGGGCCATGCAGGGTGGGCTGAAGGGGGCAGCTGCTGCACTTGCTCCAGGGAAGAGTAAAAACAACGGGATGCTGTGGAGTGCCACAGCCAGAGAGGTGCCAAGCATCCAGGGCCTATGCCAGGACAACAGGACACTGCAGAGGTGGACGCCTGGACCAGGGATAGGCTTTGTGCCTGAGCCTTGTTGTGTTGGAAGCACAAGGGAGCTGGGATGGGCAGCAGCAAGGGAATAAAACGTGTCTCTCTTTGCAGCCCACTGGGGCATGCCTGTGTTTGGGACCGGGGAGCAGGATAGCTGCCTCAGCAGCAGGGACACCGAGTCCTGCCTCTGGTGTTTGCTTCCCAGAGCTCACCAAGTCAGCAGTGGGCCTTGGCTGGCTCCAGGCAGCATAAGGAAGCTGGGAAGGGTTTGGGGCAGTTTTGGGAGAGCCACAGTGATACTGTGAATTGGGTGCATTTTGGAAGACAGGCTCCTGCTCCCACCCTCGTGCCAGCTCCTCTCCCTGTGTGCATCTGTGAGTGCTCGTGTGCTGATGCTGCAAGCGGGAATGGGGGAATATGCCCTTAAACCTGAGGCAGAAAGAGCGTGGGGATGGGGAGGAACGGGTGAACTGTAATTGAAACTGTAATTTCCCAGTAATTGAACTGGGAAATGTGTGTAACATGCCATGGGTGGATGCAGAGTGCCCCAGAACTGACAGGGTGCTTTGCTTAGGAGTGTGCTAGTGACAACTTGAGCCTGCTCAGTAGCCTGGCTTTGGAAAACAGCTGTGGAATGAGAAGGTCAGGGACTGAAAATACTCTAAGGATGGCAGGAAGGGCTGGAAGGGGAAGGAAGACGCACACCCTGCTGAGAAATGTGGTCTTGAGGGGGATTTTTTGAGCCATGGCAGGAAGGAGCTGGAACTGAAGAGAAGGCCATCGTGCTGGACTGCTGCAGTAAGGTGGTACCTTGGAGGCAGGGAGCAGGAGGGGCTTCAGGATGGGCGGGTGGGGGGGACATGGAGCACTGTCCTAGCCAGGCACTCAGCCTGGAGGGGCAGCAGCCTGGAGTGAGGAGCACCAGAGCCAGGGCCAAAGCTGGAACTGGTGGAGAGGCAGTGAGTGCACGCTGGGTGACTCCCTTGCCTGCCCAGCACCTCTCATGTCACCTTTCCAGGGGTCTGGCATAAAGCAGCTCCATGACAGCCTCTGGGTAAAGCCAAGCCAGGTCTTGGGTGAAAAGCACGACACCAGACTGAGAATCCAGGACAACTTTCTTTATTGCTACCAGAAGGCTTTCACCAGTACAATGGCTCTGGATACGATACCTTCCTCAGGGCTGTGGAGAGAGCTTACAGTCGGGACAGGGTGTTCTGAGAACAGGGTGTCACATGGAGGAGACGCAGTAAAGGTCAGACTCTTGGTTAGAAGTTACATGAACACAAAACTCCAGGGTCGGGGGTGTTCTGTTTTGGTTCTGTGCCTGATGTTGACACACGTTCCAAACCTCAGGTGTCTGCAGCTGCCCAGCACCTCACCCAGCAGTGCTGGGAAATGTGCAGGGAGAACCAGGCTCTGCACTATTCAAATGGAGAGAACCAAGCCTTGGTGAGAATCCACACTGACTGCACACAGCAAGAAAAAACAAGGTTTCAGTTCTAGTGATGAAAAACCCAGTAATTGCTTTCTGTGCTGGGAGAGACAAACTAGGGTAACAGGGAGAAGTCTCTGTGCAGGGCACAGAGCACCTTCACACTCCTGTGGAAATTACTGAAGTGTGGAGCAGCTTGCAAGCACTGGTTTGGGTTTTTTTCCTGCCTAATCTTGTGTTTAAATCTGGTTTTTCAATATTATCACGTTTAAACACCCAACTATAAAGGAAAGAGGTTTTCTGTTTAAAAGGGCAAAAGAAAGCTGTGGTGGGAGGTGGGGCAGGACAGAATGTCATGCACGAGACTGGCCAAGAACTAAAAGAGGAGCAGGCAGAAAGGGAGCAAGGAGCAGGTGACAATGGGATCAGAGAGGCATTAGTTGGCTGGGAAACCTGGAACAACTCCACAGGGCTGATGTGCGAGCTCTCGGATGTGGAGAATGGGTTACAACACACAGGAGCAGAAAAACAGTGGAACCGACAACACTAGAAAGGAACAGGTTTTTGCTACTTTTTTTGTTTGGTTTTTGGGTCTTTTTTTTAGATTTTTATACTTTTTTGTGTTTTTTAAGTGCTTAAATAGTGGAACTAGAATTAGCCGCACAAGAAATAAAATTCAAAAAAGGGTTGGGATTTTTTTTTTTTCCCTGGTTTTCTTTTGGCTCCCTTCAGTTCAGCCTGACAAGGTAAGGCCCCTTCTCGCCCCGCTGAGGCCACGGGCTGCCGTGTCCCGTGGTGGCACTCGCAGCTACATGACAGACACCGGCTGCAGAGGCGGGCAGGGGGACACGCTGCCCTCCTGCCGCGAGACGTCAGCGCCGCAGACAGAGCCCATGTTCTCCAGGGCCGCTGCCTCCGGAGCCAGGTCTTCGTTGTAGAGGCGCTTGATGCCATCGTAGAAGTCATCCACTTCCATCTCTTCCACCTTGCGCTTGGCGGAGCCTGGCTTGCAGCCGCTGGCAGGGGCGGGCAGGCGCGGGCAGAGCGCGGCTGTAGCTGTGACGGGCGCTTCTGGCCGGCCGTTGTCCTGGGAGAAACCCGGCCCTGGGACAGAGGAGGGCTGGCGGTGGAACGCTCCTCTGTTACAGGTCACCAGGATCTGCTGGAGGGGACTGTAGACATATACAGAGTTGGGCAGCAGAGAAGGCTGCAGAGTGGAAAGGTGATGTGCCGCCAGCTCCCGGCAGTGGATCAGCTGCGAGCTGTCCATCTGGAGTGGGAAGACAAGCAAAGGTACGGCTGCTGTGGGATCGCTGACAGGGTGAGAGGGCACAGGCTCCCAGCACTCCAGTCACCTGTGCACCTCGCTTGGCAACAACGTGCTGCTGACCCCTCCCATGGTGACTTCCCAAAACACACCCGCTGCTCCTTCCTGCACCTCGTGGTGGGAAGGAGGCAGAACTTGGAGATATTAAAGCATTTCACTGTGTGTTTTTTGTAGCTGGAGTGTGCTCCCAGAGTACCTGCAAGGTTGCCTGTATGCTGTGAATGAATGGAGGGGAGCCACTACCAAGTGGAATTTTTCCCTGGTGTGTTTTCTCCCTGGTGCAGCAAGGGCCTGTGTACATCAGGGCACACGGCTCCTGTCAGGCAGTGGAGGTGGTCAGGACTGAGACCTGGCAGCACTGTTCCTGCAGCTGTCGCTCCAGGCTGAGGCCCAGCCATCCCCACGTGAGCAGAACAGCAGCAAGGAGAGGCCTGGAGCGCCGAGCAGCATCTGGCCCCGGTCCCTCCCCACTCTGTGTGCATTGCCCTCCTCACCTGTGCCTTCTGGAGCAGCTCGATGATGAGAGCCAGCCAGTCGGGGAGCAGCTTCTCCAGCTCCAGGCTGACGATGGCCAGCGCCAGCATGGAGCCCTTGAACTGCAGCAGCTGGAAACAGGCCATGCAGTGCAGCAGCTGCTTGGTGAGCGCCGCCACGTGCTGCGAGGGGCTCGGCGTGGGCAGCAGGGCCAGGAGCTGCGGCCTGCTGGACACCGCCACGGCGTGGAACTGCGGGACACAAGCACAGGGGGCAGCTGGCAGCGCTGGCCAGGCCACGGCACGCCTGGGAAACAGCTTACACACGCAAGGGTTCTCCAGCCTAACCCTGGAGGCAACTTCTGCCCCGTGGGGAAAAACCCAATGTGCCGAACCCACCAAAGCTTGGTGCGGCCCTTCTGGTGGGACCTCCTTAGGCACCAGTCTCTAGGGCTCTGAAAAAGGTGTTCCCATCTACCCTTCTCTCGCCAGTGCACGTGTGGCAGTTGGGGGTCCTAGACAAACTCCTCAGGGAAGGAGTGAGGAAAAATTCCACAGAGCACTTCAGGACATCTCCCTTGACCTCCTCTCATGCATGCATCTGGCTCTTGGCCGTGGAGGTGTGCAGCAGGCATGGATCCACACTCACAGCCCACCCGTGGGGCTTCCTCTGTGGCTGCACTTGTTTCCCTGCTGCCTGGTGTTTAGCTTTGAGGAAAACCATTGAAGAGTTACGAGCACAACTTCCAGGAGCTGTGAATCTATGGCTGAACACACCCCAAACCAGACCAAAGGGTGAGACAGGAGGCTAACGTTTTGGATATTGCACTTCAATATCCAGAGTGACAAGTCTCCTTAGGCATTCTCTGGCTAAGCATTTTCTTTCAGAAACCACAGGTACAGAGGAATTCCAAATATATTCCAAGGTCTTTGTTCCCCTACAGGTAGAATTTTTGTCTGGGTGCTTCTTGACACATTATTTGCACTGGCAGACACCAGAAAGAATATCAATAGCCCTTTACTTACAATATGAAGGAAATCCAGTGGCGTCGCCATGTGAAGATCCCAGTTCAGTTTATCCAGGATGATCTTCTCCATTCTGCGAATTTCAGCTGGAGAACAACCACAAAAGCTATCCCGAGCCAACACTTTGAGTACTGGAATCCTCTGCAAAAACCAAGGCAAAAAAAGAAAGGAGAGAACCAGTCTTTAGAGAAATCACACCAAATGCTTTGTTCCTGTCCTGGCAAGTGGCAGCCACCAGGAGCAGGCAAAGGTAGGGCTGGGAGGGGAGACAGTCCAACAATGCCACAGTAAGAAGAACAGAGTTACCTCATCTTCCTCAATGGTCTTTGCAGCGAGGAAGAAGCAGCTGATTGCAATACAGTTCAGGTACTTGGGACGGGCCTGTGGGACAGGAGAGCAGAAAGAGCTCTGTGTCAGCGTGATGCAGCAATGATGCCCTGATCTTTCTGTTGGGGCATCCCAAACCCCCCAGGTCTCCTTCTGGATGTGCAGGCTGACCTCTGGCTACACCCTGGCAGTGGCAAGCTGTGCCAAGCACAAATCCCTGCTCCATGACGTCAGGCAGGGCAGGGATCTGCCAGCCTTGTGATCTGAGTGGGCAGCACTGGACTGGAAAGAGCTCGGGTTTAGGCACTGCAGCATAACTGGCAAAGAGAAAATCCTGAGGGGAGCTCGTCCCCTCACAGAAAAGCCACTTCACCTGCTGCAGCAGAGCTGTGCTCTGAGTGCTGCTGTGGTCAGACACGGAATGGGAAGAGAAATGGGAATTGGAAAACACTGTCTTTGCCTGGGGAAGTGTAACTCACAAAAACTTTAAAAAAAACCCTTGTGAAGTTAACACTTGTAATTTCACACTACAGTTCCCAAAACTGTGGCGCAGGGATTAGTGAGGGAGAGCTGGTTCCTTCCACAAGCGAGTAGATGTTTTTTAGGCAAGGTAAGAGGAATTTGGAGGGGGAAAGGGATTTTTTTGGTGAGCTTTGTGCATGTGACCACCTTGACAAGAGGCTTAACTCCCACTGGCAGTGTTAACAACCACTGGCCGTGGCCACATCCTCCTGAGTGGCTGGGGCTGGAAAGGCAGAGGCTATGCCTAAACCCTGGCACAGCTGCAGAGCTGAGCAGCTCCTGACAGCTGAACCCTCCTGCATGTGGTCAGAGATGCTGAAGGCAAAAGGAAGTGAAAATCCTGCACTCACACCCTGCACTTGTGTGTGCAGGTGTCCAAGGGAATGAATTCCTTTAGGGCAGGACGGGACTGAGCCCTGCTGAGGGTGCTGTGCAGTGATTCACAGCACCAATAACAGCCTGGCTCTGGGTAACAGCCAGTCCCTGCAATCCCCAGGTCTGTTCCTGGGGAAGGGACCGGTGGTGTACAAAATAAAATCACATCAAGAAGCCCCTGCTAGAAAACCAGGATTTCAGCTGCATCAGAGGAAGGAGCTTTGTGGGAGAGGAAAAGTGGGTAGGGAGCAGAAAGCCCCAGAGCTCACCCAGGCAAAGGCCCTTTCCCCCTTCCTGCTCACTGCCCAAAGCAGTGTGCTCTGGACTCACAGTCCCACACTTTCAGTAGAGACTTGTGGCTGCTCCAGCTTGCTGAAAGAAAACCTGCACTTCAGGGCATTGGCTCTTGAGGGATATAAATCTTTGCCACCTCAGCATTTCAGTAAATCAGCTGCATTGGATTCTTAAAAATAATAACTTCCCTGGCTTGCACAAAGACATGATCAATATTTATTAATATTTAAGGGGTGAGTTAATGAATGATGTCACTTGTGTCCTACCAAAGTCTCTCACATGCAAAAGCAAGGGCACAGGCTTGGAATGCATCCTCCAGCTGCCATCTCCTAAGGGATACTGCTTGCCCAACAGGCTGGTGGTGTGGCGTGAGACACGTGCAGGTGAGGCCATGGATTGCTGAGCACACAATGTAACCGAGCAGATGTGGTAAGAGAGCCTGCCAAAGCTTGACTTCACAGCTGTAGGCCAGGGGTTCCAGGTTGGAGCACACTGTGTGGTCACCTGGCAGGTGCAAAGCACAGCTACAGGGGCCACTTGCAGGGAGCCCAAATGTTCTTCCCCCTTTTTAAAGGGGGAAACTTTTCCTCCAGTTTCTATGGAGGAGCAGCCTGAAACCCAAAGGGGCTCATCCACTCCAGTTGGGTTCAGCAAAGCAGGAAGGCACAGCTGTCACATGGACAACCTGCACCTGTGTTTGCTTCCCTTTCTCCTTCCCACCTCTTGGGCATCAGTCCAAGATGGAGTCCGTCTGTAAAGCAGCTTGGTAGGGAACTACTCCCCCAAAAGCCATTGTCTGTATTTCAGCTTTCTTCGCCCATTTTTCTTCCCCAATTTCCTGCACCACCCCCCTTGCTAGGCTCAAACCTGTCCTCGGTTTTTTTTCCAGCTGGTTTCCTGCTAGCAGGGGCCCCAGCATTTTGGGGTGGTACAAAGGGGCGGAATGCAGCCACGGAGGTGAGCAGGGCCTGTCCCTGGTGCTGCTGGCCTGGGGCTCCTGGGCACTGCCTTTGCCTTCCCAAGTCAGCCCAGGCTCTCTGAGCACCCAAAGCCCCCCAGTGTGGCTCGAGCACAGCAGGTGCTGCCCACCCCAGTGTGAGCAGGGCGAGGTGGGGCCGGGGGAAGGAAGCGTTTCTGTTTGCCTGCACTGCTCACACCAACCGTGCGCCGGGGCAGCAATCTGTTCCAATCTGCGGCGCTGCAAATATTTACCTTTACTGCTGCTAAAAACCTGTCCAAGAGGCTGATGGCCAGGGCAAGCGTTTCTGGGTAAAGGTGGAACTGGTACTTGAGCTTGGCCAGCCACTGGATGACCTCATCCCTCTGCCTTGGAGAAATGGCTACATCCTGGGGAGAGAAAGATCAAAGGTGTTACCTTTGCATGAGTGACTCAGCACAGAAACAAAGCCTCCTTTGGAAAGGGGAGCCTGGAGCTAGCCCCAGTCACCACTCTGTTCCTGCAGTTACTTATCCCATCCCAAAAACCTGCCCTGGAAAAGACAACTTTCCTTACAGCAATCTCAAACCTCATTCCAGTGTCACTGTCCTCTTTTCTGGGGAAAAGAGGATGGGTGTCTTGTAGTTTGTCAAGCACTGACACCCTCAGCTCCATAGTAGTTCCCAGAAATTTTTATTTAGTGATTATTTTTTAACCTGCTCAGTACCATGTGGGTGTACAGCAATTCCCAGCTGGAACAAAAGACCCCCTTGGCAACAGCAGAGTGGAGGGAGTGTTGGGGTTTTGTGCAGAAGGTTTATTTTTTTTCCTCAAATTATGGGGACTTTTTTACCTCATACCTGTTACAATAAAGAAAATTGCAAACAGCTGACAAGGCAGTCAGTAGCTCAGTTACCTGGGAATCGGGAGGCAGCAGCTACAGCTTTACCTGCAGTTTAGGCATCAGGAATTTAGAAAAAAAAGCACCCCAATACTGACACCAAATAAATACTTTAGGCTGCATCTACCACTGCAACAGCTAGGTGTACCTTGCATGGACAGTAGCAGTGCCCATGTTGTGCCCTGAGCCCCAGCAGTGGCCCGGTGTCACCAGCACTGTCTGCTGCTCCACGTGGGCCCCTGCTCTCAGCTGCTGCACATCTACAGCCTGGCTCTCGAATAACAAGTACCTGCTGTTTGCTCCAAGGAACACTGGTTCTTTCTAAAATCACCGATGCAGTTCCAGGGTGAAATGTGAGCCCACTCCAGGAGAGGTTACTGAATGCTCTGCTCTAGGTGCTCCCGAGAGTGGGAAGGGACCTGGGCTGTATCCGGGGGGGAAGAAAGGGGAATGCTCGATGAGGGGGTGGAAATGGCACCTGTGGTGTTCCTGCTGGGGAGGGAGGGCTCTGCCTCAGCAGCCTGGGGGGATTTCAACACCACCCAGCAAACAGGCAGCAGCTTCCACAGCTCCCAGTGGCCTCTGTGCTGGCTGGGTGCTGTCTCCCTGTGCCTGTCAAGGCAGCAGGTGAGGTGTTCCTCTAAAAAGAGCATGGCTGGGAAGAGTTAAGACTCTCCCTCTCTCTGTGCTGCCTCTCCTCAGCTCTCCCAAGGCCTGGCCCTGGATCCTGCCTCCCTTTGTGGGCAGCCAGAAGGCACCGCTTCACTCAGGGAGCAGCAGCTGCACTCGCCAGTGCCTGGGGGAAAAAGGAGCAATTGCAAAGCACCCTCAGCTCGGTGCATGTCCAGCACAAGGCTGGCTCCAAAATAAAACTGGCTCCTTAAGAACTATCTGGGGAAGCAAAGGAAAGGAGGGGAGTCTCCAGCTCTTTCTGGAACCCTACAAAAAGGGTGCCTACTCCAGACCCTATATGCAGATAAAGGAGGATGGCAGAATCCCCTCACAGGTGAGTTTAAGCACCAGGAAAGGGTGTTACAGCCTGGTTCAGGACAGGCAGCTTCCCACACAAACACCAGCCTCTATCCCTCTCTCTCAGAGGTGTCCCTGTGACACCCTCAGAACACAAATAACAAAATGCAGCACAGGAAAATTAATTAAGCAGCGAGGTCACTGATCCTTAGTTAATTGAAATTAAAAGCAAAACCGAGACACTCTGGGGGCTGGAAGTGAGAAAGTCCCTTTGGGTGGAAAGTGAAGGTTCCTCCTTGGGGCAGAGGTACTTTCTGTGTGTCATCCCTGCTCCAGACAGGAGAACAGGGGCCAAGATGTGGATGTTCCCGGAGGGCAAGCACAGAGTAGATCATCTCTCAGGATGCTGATCTCTCTCATATCTTGAGACTTATGGAATATGTAGGCTAAAATAAATATTATCTGTGAACTCAAACATGACTCTGTTTTACTGCTGCCTAATTGAGAGAAAACACCTCAGCTGATAATGTTTTCCGTAATGTCTCCTGTCCCAGACCAGTGTTCTGCTCTTTCCCCACCTCTGTTGCTGCCTGGTCCCTGTGGGCACCTGGGCAATGAGCAGGTGACCTTTATTAGGACTGGAAATAAGCTGAGCTCTCCAGATTCCTCAAGAGATACAGAGAAGAAGTGGGGAGACAGAGTGAGCCACAGCAGGAAAGAAAGGAGGCGTGACACAAGTGACACTCTCTTTCTATAAAAAATAAATTCAAAAATCTTCACTGACGCCCCTCTCAGCCAACAAGTTACTGGGTAACAGGAAAAAATCAACCTTTGACCAGTCTTTATGGCTCCATTTCTCAAGCCTTAATCCCGAGAACACTCCTGAATGTCACCTGCATCTCATATAACCCATGGTGGGGGAGGCCAGGGGAACCAGAAGGGAAAAAAATCCACATCCATTCAGAAGCAGGAAGAGGTTCCAAACTCAGCCCACTATTTTTTCAGGCTGAAAAGCCTTTGTGGGATCTGGCTTTGGTATGTTGCACATACCCAGAACACTGGCCTGCATTTAAAGGAGGGAGTTGGAATTTTTATACAAGAAGTACAAACAAAACAGAACAATCAGGTACATGAAATCACCAGGAAACAAGTCTCCAACAGATTCTGCACCCCATCCTAAAAATGGAAAGTCTTCCTGCCTCTTTAAATGTGGGTTTCTTTCTTCCTGTCAAAGACCTCGACTGTCACATATTTAGAAACTGAGTTTGTTCTGGTTTTAAACACCATAACCAAAAACGTCTCCTAAAGAGTCAAACTAGAAAGGTGAAGGCTGGGGGAACAGGGGACAGTTGGACAAGCTGGGTGTCCTGAACCACAGGAACAGAGGCAAATGTGTGCTTACAGACAGGAGTGTTCTCAGCTGCTCCATGGCCTCCCAACTCCGGGTTTCCCCCACGCAGGCAGCTAAGTTTATGCTCTCCTCTCTCCCTCTGGCCTTCCTACATCTCACACTCACACATGCAGCTTCCACTCCCAGTTAGTGATCCCTTACTGCTACATCCCTTACTGCACTGGTAACGTCGGTGTCTGAGCTGGCATGTAGGAAAACAGACAGAAAAAGGTTACACCAAGGCAAGAGTTTTGGGGCTGGAAATCCCAGGAGCAAGGGCAAGCACAGAGGAGGGATTGCTGGGAATTCTGCCTGAGGCATGTGGTGGTTTCTGAGCCACCAGAACCAAGGCAGAAAGGCAAGCACCTCATCCCTGTGAAAGCTTCACCCATGAATCTGGTTTGGTTATACTCGAGTCCCTACCCTATCTTGTTATCCTGTAATCTTATCTCCCTGCAATATAATCACCCAGGAGCGCAGCCAGCAGGGAATGACAGGCTGCTTTACCATAAGCCAGAGTGTTAAACTGTTTGTGCCTCAAGACAGCCACAGCTACAACACACTCCACACCTCTGACAACCAGATCACTTGTTTGAAACATGGATTAACAGAACTAATACTAAGGCCCTTAAAACGTATTTGCTCCCACCCAACAGCAGCAGCTTCTTGTTTGCCAGACAGAGAAAACACACACAACAGGGATTAGCTCTGATGGCAAGCTGACTTACCTGGGTGAAGGTTTCATGTGGTGCAACAACAGCAAGCCTGGATCCGGGCCCTCAGTGTGATTATTTCAGCCCAACCCAGCAAAAAAGGGCCAGAAATTCTGTGACAACGTCCTCACATTCCATATTTTGTTTCAGACAGAGCTTTGTGGAGTGCACAGGTGTTTGTGAGTGCTCAGGTGGGACACTGCCTCCTCCCAAAGGAGCACAAACTCACTCTGGGCTGGGTGAGGCCATGAGCAGCTGGGTCCAACCTCCCTGCAGCACAAGAGGGGGCCCCAACTACGGAGCCCCTGTGGCCTTTTCCACCCTGAATCTTCCCCCAGTCCTGTGAGAACATTCCTCACTGCAACAGGCCAGTTCCTGGCTCTGCCTCCCTTGACACGAGCTTGCACCCTGCTCTATAAATAGACCTGCTGGACTCAGTGGGGTTCTTCCTGGAGCAGGCATCAGATCAATGCTGCCATTAGTGAATTGCTCCAAGAAAACGAAGCTGCTTTTAAGAACTGTTGCAGAGGTGGTGCCCAGCAGAAACAGGTGCTAATAATCCCCACCGTTTGTACAATGAATTTAATCAGGAAAATGTATCTGTGTGCTGTCGTGAGCCCAGCAGAGACCTAACCCCGTGTGCTGTGCAGTGTGTTCTGCACCCCTAGGGCAGGTGTGTCCATCAAATAAAGAGGGAATCACTTCCCTCAGAGGCTGATTCCCCAGGTGTCAGGAAATGGAACTGCTCCTGAACACCTCCAGTTGCCCCCACACCAACCCCCACCAGGCAGTCTCCTGCCTTTGCTGGGATGGATGATGTGAAGGACAGACATTACCTGATTGGGCTGAATTTTCGGCACATGTGCTTTCCACATTTGAGCTTCCCTAGAGATTGCCATCTCCAGAAGGAGAGACAACCTCTGGCTCTCCAGGGGTCCTGAAAACTTCATGGTAACCCTTGGATCCACCTGCCACCCAGCTGGATACAGCTACCTGCAAAACCAAAGATAGCTGGGTGAAACACTGGGCTGTGCCTGTGCAGGCAAAAGGCGGCGCAGAGGGGAATAAAGCTGCAGGAAATGGAACTGTTCCCCCGGCCCTGGCACAGCCTCACTTGGCAGTAACAGCCTGTCAAAAAAACCTGTCCATTTGTCCATTACAAGTGGGAACAAGGCAGAGACAAGGCTTTTGTCCTTTATTTCTTTAAAGACAACAGATTGCCACCTGTTCTCAAATGGAGAGGATGATCTGATGGAAAAGCTTATTTAGGTAGTAGTTTTGAGACTGCCTACCAGGACTATGGCTACAGATTTTTGACAGTGTTAACTCACTTAGGCAAAACAGGGAAATGGTAAATGAAGGGTAAATCCACGGGAAAGTTATTAAAACTCCCAATTCTCTGCATGAGGCCTTGTGCAACTCCCCCAAGGTGGATATTGGCCAAACAGTAACCAGGCGTTTTCACGTGAATACAACAGTCCAGGCTGTATTTACAGGAAATAAGCAAGGTGCTGACTCTGAGAAAATAAACAGAATTCACAGGGAAAACAATCTGTTATCATAAATAACAACAAAAGCAGCTCTGAGCAAATGAAGATTCAAGGTGCTTTCCCAGAGCTAAAGGAAACCTTAAAGATCAAGACTGACAGAGAACAAATACTATTTTTTATTCACACACCCTGCACCAGGTATAAACCACACTGCAGTCCCACGTAGGAGTCCAGAAGGTTTTAAGTGGCAAAAAAGCCTCAGGGCCCTCTGTCCTGAACAGGAACCTTCTATATTAGATTTCTATATAACAAATCCTGCTCCATGAACAAGGGACAGCCTGTACTGGCTTGGCATATCCCTATACAAGATGTCCAGGTGTCACTGAATAGACAGAACACCTGGGAACCGGGAGACCTGAAAAGGACTCCTGAAGCTCTGTGACATGTCTCTTCTCACCACCCCCCAAACGGCCACTGTGGGCTGAAAAATCCCTATTAAAAATCCCTCTCTTGCCCAAAGGAAGACTCTGCCTAGGGAAGTGAAACTCCAGAACCTCCAACCACAGCTTATTTATGTGCATTTACTCAATCTTGCATTTGTTTTTTAAACCTGGGGCTGATCCTGAGGACACTCGCTGTAAATGGGGCTGAAGGGGAAACAGGGACACGGAGTCACAGCCTCCCCTCCAGCTCCTTCCTCGGGGGCTTCATTAGCACCTCATGAGCCTCCCATCAGAGCCACAGTTTTCCCTGTGGCCAGTTCCCAAAGTCTGGATCCTTCACCATCTCCCGGCAAAGCTGTGCCAGGCACTGCACCAGGTGGAATGTGGCAAGGCTGGGAGCAGACCCACGGCAGAGGCCGAGGCTGGGAGCAGTGCTGAGAGCTGGGGGAACGGGAGCAGCTCACCACACACTCGTCAGGAAAAAAGCAGGAGCTTTATTTAGCCTGGCCATGTCTCTTCATATGAAATATTGATGGTCTTTCCTCAGTTTTGCAGGAAGGAGAGAGTAATTAGCCAACCCCCAAATCACTGGAGACAGCCCAGGGAAAAATTTCAGGCTGTTTTTTTCTGTTGTGACTGATAAACATTCCCACCATGTTTACAACACAAATGGGTTTCACAGGCCTCTGGAAGCAGACAGGAGCTTTTAGTTACCCTGATCCCCTCTGAGGTTGTCCCTGTGCTGCCTGGGCTGGTCAGTGGCCCCAGCAAAATGCTCGGGTGTCCCTGGAGCCGCGACACACCCAGGGCCTTGCAAGGGGCATCTTTAGTGAGCGCTGCTGCCAACTGCTCTCCGGTTGCCAAGGGCAAAAGAGAGGGGAAAATAACCTTTCCTTTGTGAACTAGGGACCTAATTCAGTTGAGGGCTGAGGCACAATAACCTTTATAAGGGAAAAAAGAAGAGGAATGACGCGCTTGAAAGTTTCCCTTGGAGCAAGAGTGGTGCACAGTTTTCCAGCAGAGAGCACAGGCGGGAGCCGGGCCAAGCAGCCTGGGGCTGAATCCAGTTTGCATCTCCATTTACATTGCTCTCCATCAGATAAATGCTGCCATTGGAAAAAACCGCCAGCAGGACTGTGTGCAGGCTTCCCAAAGCACAAGGGAGCACAGGCACAGCAGGCTCCGAGAGGATGAGGAACAGCAGGGCTGGCACAGCTTCCCAAAACCCAGCACAGGGAGGTCCATGGATTCCTCTCTGCCCAGCTCAGGACCTGAGCAGCCCAGAAAAGTGGCAGCAGCACTGCAGAACCCTTCGGTAGGGCCAGCAGGAGGCCTGAGCCTGTCCCCACACCAAACACTTCCTCCAGCCAGAAACTTCCTGTGTTTTTCTGCAACCGAGGCACCCACAGCTGGAGGAACTGCCCAAGCCGGGACAGTCACCATTAACTAACTCACCCCAGCTTTCTGCTTCTTTCCCTGATTTAGAATTAACCTTTAGCTCCACGGTGCTGGCTTTTTGGGTTTGGGGCTTTTTTCCCTTGTGGTTACCTTGGGAGTTTTTCAACCACTGTTCAAACAGTTCCTATTCTTCACTGGAAGGTCACCTGGCTGTGCTGAAATCTCTTAAAGAACAGCTGGGGAGTTACTAAAGGAGAAGTGAGCCCGGTCAAGGCACTGCCTTTTACGCCTCCTGTGAGGAGCTGCAAGCTGGATCTTGCTCTGAAATTAGAGAGTCAAAACCTTGGTGTGAGGTTTTCACTTGTGAGAGGCATCAAAAATCACCTCCTTATCCACGGTAAACACCCTGAGCTGGTCCATAAAATACACACCTCTCATCTGCTAAAGATCTCTCTTTGGTCCAGGTTTATAGCTACCTTGACTCAAACAAGTGCTTTTCAGTTTCCCTGGAGAGATTTTAGGCTGCCAAGTGCTGCAGGCTACAGTTTCCAAAAGCAGTTTCTGCAGGAATAGGGACAGATGACCAAATAACACTTCATGGTTTGGGGGGTGCATTCATGTGGGATACAATAGAAGAGCTTTTTTTATTTTTAGGTTTTGTAATCACTTGCAGTGACTGTAACAAGTGCCTCCCGCACCCAAAAGATTCTGCTCCAGGAACATACTATCCACTATAAGGACAAGCTTCTAACATTCTAACAGAGCTCCTGATTTTCCTGCCTCCAGTTGCAATGTAACCATCCTCACACAACTGAACTACAAACAAGATCACTGAAATAATTCACGGCAGTAACAAAATCCTCTTTGGTTCTGATGGTGGCTTGTTTTCTGTTTGCTGGGAGGGGGGGTTGTTTGTTTGTTTGCTTTTTAAACACAGCTCATTTTATAAACAGATAACAGTATTTCTAGGGCTAGAGACAGCCCAAACCCCATTATCTTTGTTTTGCACATCAATCCAGGTGGGAGTTCTGGACAAGGGCAGTAATTCCAGTACAGCTGAAGCACCACACCAAATTCTGCAGACCTGATATTTTCAGGGACCAGCAGCCAAGTCTGCTTCAGCTTTAGCAAGGAGTAGTAAAATCTCACAGATGACCTGCACACAGATTTTTCTGGGCAGGGGGGGAAGGCGAAGCAGAAGGAAGAGAGGAGGAGACTGAATTCCTAGGAGCTCCAGCCAGCCATCTGTGATTTCAAAGGATCCAAGCCTACTGCTAGCAGAAATGTCTAACTGCAAGTTGTGATTAGAAATTTCAAAGCTGTGGCCGGGGGCTGGGATGGATGTTAATTTTAGTACCTGGGGCTTTCTCTTAGCTTAACTCTTTCCTCATGCCCCAGCAGTGAGGCAGTCTGGAACTCTGTGCTGGCCAGAGGGAAATGCCAAAGCACAGCTCAGTGTGACAGCAATAAATGAGCAGATGACCAGTGTGGGTTCAAATCAGCTGGTTTGGGATGTACAAAATAAATGGCCAATGAAAACAGCTCAACAATGTTGTGAGACAATAACAACTTTTAAAGCTAAAATGCTGGGAAAAGTACGTTTGGGAATATAATTTCAAACGTTAACACCTAAGTAAGCCAGTCTGTTTGAAGGAACAAACTGCCTTCTGGTCAAATACCAAGTCCAGTAAGAATCCTCCCCAGGAGCAGCACTAAGTTAGTGACTAAGGGCCTGCAGGTGATCTCACACCTTTAACCAGCAGCTCCTCTGAGCTGTGCCTAAGCCCAAATTCGGAAAGAGGCAATTTTCTGGAGACTGGCAGAGGAAGAGGGCCCTTGCCACTTGTCTGTGTGACTCAGCCCGAGCTGCCTCCCACAACCTGGTACAAAGGCAACGCTGTGAGGTATTTTGGCAGCATCGTTCAGGCGGGCTCATGTACATCACACACTCGCCACTTCTTCTCCTCCAACCAGATTTTTCCTGGGAGTGTAAATAAAGCTGACCTCATTTTAGTGCTGGTTTTCCAAACAGATGAATTTTTCCAAACATTTTAAAGGAACCTGCCAGCTAAAACCACGGGTCGAACAGGGAATGCAGAGCAGTGTTTTGATGGGAGGGAGGGGAGGGGTTTTTACATCTTGTTTTGAAACAGAATTCCCAGGGTCCTTTTAGCAGCTAGGAAGGAGGAGCCCTCTGGAAAAGGGCTGTTAAGAGATTGCTGCTCCCCTTCATTCCCCCAGCCTTGTGACTGACGTCAGGGGTTTGCTGTTTACAGGAAACTTAAAATTATATTTTCCAAAGTAGGAACTTTTAAAAAACAAGGTAGAAGATGAACTCCTGACTGAACTTTCAGACAATGTCACCATTCTTCCCTCCTGGTGAGATGGGTGTACTTCCAGACCCATGCCCACCCCACTCCCTGTGCTAGTGGCTCTGGTAGGAAGGGCAGAGGAGGAGGAGGTGGTGGAGGTCTGCATTTCCTTTTTGTCGGGCAGCTGCCAAGATGAGTCCATTCAAGCAGCCTTTGCCCAGAAAGGTCTTTGGTCAGTAAGGGCTTAAACGTTCCATGCCACAGTTTTCAAGTGGTGCAAACAGGCTGCTTTAATCACAGCTCTTTCCCCTGCTGTGGCAGCAACAGACCAAGCAAACTGAGGATAAAAG